CCTCTCTATCATAATGGGATAGTTCAAAGTCGCGTCGGTGCGTCTCGGCGCTGCTTTGGCGCATCTGGGAACATCATGCGGGGGCGGATAGGAATCATCAGCGCATATTGAGATGTTGGCGTTTTCCGAGTGGCCTTCGGCCCATCCCGCCACCGTGCTTGGGTTGTGGGTCTGAGGCTTCTTGTATATGGGTTGGGGTGTCGTGGGGAGCCTCTCGGGGGCGTCTTGAAGGCGGTTTGGGCGCCTCTTGGGGGCCTCTTGGGGCCTCGTAGGGGTATCTTTTGGGCCGCTTGGAGGCCTCTTAGGCGCGTCTTGGGCGCCTCTTGGGGCTCTTGGCGGCCTCTTGGAGCCTTCTGGGGGCTTCTCGGGGCACAATATCGAATGTTCGGTTCGTGGCCCCCTGCTTGAACCCCTCTTGGGGCTGTCTTGGGGCCCTCTTGGGCCGGCTTGAGCGCTTCTTGGGCCATCTTGGAGCCCTCTTGTGCCGTCTTGAGGCCCTCTTGGAGGCGTTTTGGGATGTCTTGGGGCGGTATTGGGAGTTTCTTAGGCCGTCTTGGAGCGTCGGAAATCCGAAAATGCGAGAAGTCCAAAATCTTTCAAAACCTTCGTACGATGTTGGCCTCCTGGGGCTCTCTCAGGAGGCCTCTTGGAGCGCTCTTGGGGCCCCTTCGGGCCCTCTTGAGCCGTCTTGGAACCATCTTTGGACACCTTGGAGCACTCTTGGCCTCGGCAATGCGAACACGGCGTAATGTACAAAGGTTGATGGCTTCCGGGACGCGAATATTGTAATGTACGATGGTTTGTTGCCTCGGGGCGCAAAAATAATATAATTCACCAGGGTTTGTGGCCTCGGGGACGCGAATATTGTGTAATTGACGAGGGAATATGGCCTCAGGGGCGCGAATCTTATGCATTTGTGCATGTCCCACGCCCCCCCGGGAATCCAGACAATACGATGCGGGCGTGGTCACTGGGTCTTTGGGGGCTCCCCCCCCCTCGCGCGGATTTGAACAATTCACAGTACTGAAGGAAGCCGAAAGCAGGACTGTAACATTGGAGATTTGAAACTGCAACTGGCGCAGGGAGTAGCAGCTTCGCCCCATAGCCTGGTGGCCCCACAAGGGGGCCGGCAGATTTTCTCCCTCCCTTCCTATCCTTCCTCGTCCCCTTGTCTCCTCTTCATGACCATCGTCCTTCCCCCCATCGTCATCATCCTCCTCTGCCCCCTCCCGCTTCTCCGTGATCGCGGCGCCGATCGCACGCCCGTGTGGATCATTCACCATGCCGACCTCACCAGCAAGACAGCGCCGCAAACCCAGGAGACTACCAAGCAATCCCACCCTGTGCGGCGTCGTGTCCTCCGAGTTGCCGCTGACGCTGGGCCACCGTCGAGCGGTTCGGTCAAATCCGAGTACCAGCGGTGCTTCGAGTCACTTGCAACAGGCGCGGTCTTTCGGAGGCTGCGCAAGGGCCTCGAGGAAATTGGTAAGCCCTCCCACCATAGCTTGTGACAGCAGCTGCAGACGCCGATGCGAGCATCAGGCGCCAGTGAACAAGCACCGATCGAGGAATGGCCACAACCACCACGACCATCACCACCACTCTGCAGACAACGGCCAGAATGGCGGCAACGGCGGGGTGCACACTGGTTAACAACAAGCCACGCCAGTTGCCAGCCCACAGCCTCGTCCATCTCGGCCAGATGCAGCAAGACCGTCACGACCAAAAACAGATATGCTTTCGAAAAGGCCTCACAAACGACACCCACGACGAGGACCTATGACGGTTGTGGGACCTGAAGGAGGCCCGTAAGATCCAAGTCGGCTTGGCTCGAGACCACGCCACCATCACCCCGCATGTGGGCCGCCCGCAAAGGCACGAAGTGTTTTTGTTGTCCTTTGGTTGTGCGACTTCGCTAGGCGCAGGAACAAGTACGACATATGCCACATGAACAACAGGTCCCCTGCAGCGAGCAAGCAGGTGGGCTGAGGCCATCACACGTGGCAGCAGCCTCCCGAGCGGCAAGCCAGACTCCAGCGCTTGATGGATGCTCTCGTCGACAGGTTCGACGAGCTCGAGAGTCACCAACACCAACTCCGAAGCGGCCACTAGTGGCAGTGGCGCCATCGGGGAGATCGCGATGACCAAATACACCAGGTATCAGAATGTAGCCTGAGCACCTTAGCATCACATGCTTGCGCTGTGGGAACAAGACCAGAGTAGACTTGCTCCAGCAACATGAAAGCCATAAACATCAGCACCGTATGCTCAACTACTTGGAGCTTATCAGCTGACGGTGTCAATCAGCGCACCGGTTCCGAAAAATGCCTGAGGCAGTCGGGCAGGCCCAGGCCCAGATCACGCGGCCACAAGGAAAATTCTAGACGCTTCGCGTATCCCCACCAGCCCATCCCGAAACGATGTCCAGGCGAGTTGAGGTGATCAGGGAAGTGCGGCAGCAAAGAGGAGGACGGCCGAACCGTGCAAATGAGTGAGGAGGAGAAGGAGGAGGTGGATGGATGGATGGATGAGGGAGTGGGATGACGGAGGATGAATAGGATGAGGAGGAGGCGGGGGAGGAGGAGGAGGAGGAGGAGGAGGAGGAAGAGAAGGAGTAGGAGCAGGAAGGAGGAACAGGAGGAGGAGGAGGAGGGCAAGCACAAGGGCCAGAGGTCTCTTGGATGCCTCTAGGAGCCTCTTGGAGTATCTCTTGGGCGATTATTGGGGGCCTCTTGGGACGTCTTGGGGGTCTCTTGGCGATCCTGGGGGGCTCTTCGGGGTCTTGGGTGCCTCGGGGGGGGGGGCCTCTTGGGGCCTCTGAGGGTCTTCTTGGGGGCCTTCTGGGGGCCTCTTGGGGGCCTCTTGGGGCCATCTTGGGGCCATCTTGGGACCTCTTGGGGCCTCCTGGGCGCTTCTTTGTGCCATCTTGGAGGAGATCTATCAAAGAAGAGCTGAGCTTTAATTAGCGCTGCCCCCCCAGGAGGCCAAAATGGGGCCAAAACCCTGCTAAAATCAATGATTTTGGCTTCCTCGCCGAGGCTGTTTTGGACGCTCTGACCGCTCCCCGCCCCTCCTGTCCAGGTCAGTGGGGAGGGGGTAGGGGGAGGGGTAAACCCCTCCCCGAAGGGGAAGAGGGAGTGGTGGAAGAGGAAACGCCCTAAACCACCGACGCCCAGAGGGCTGGTGGGATTAGCGCTGCCCCTCCAGACTGTCTAAAATCGCTTCCTGGACCCCTCTTGGATCGCTTTTGGAGCGCTCTTGGACGCTGTTGAGGCAGTCTTGAGGCTCTCTTGGGCCCCTGTTGGGGCCCAGTTGGGACATCTTGGCGCCATCTTGAGGCCTCGGATGGGCTTCGGAAGCGAAAAAGTGAGAACACCAAAAACATTGATTTTCCCTAGGGTTTTGAAGCATTTCGGCCTTTTGAGGGCACTCTAATGATGCTCTTGTGGGCACTTGGAACCATCTTGGAGCGGTCTTGGAACGTGTTGGAGCGTCTTCTGAACCATCTTCAGGCATCTTGCGCTATCTTGAGCCATCTTGGAGGCGATCTTGGGCTCTCTGAGGCCCTCTTGGAGCCGTCCTGGGCCATCTTGGACGCTCTGACCGCTCCCCGCCCCTCCTGTCCAGGTCAGTGGGGAGGGGGTAGGGGGAGGGGTAAACCCCTCCCCGAAGGGGAAGAGGGAGGGGTGGAAGAGGAAACGCCCTAAACCACCGACGCCCAGAGGGCTGGTGGGGAAACGCTTCGCGTATCCCCACCAGCCCGTCCAGAAACAACGCCCAGGCGAGTAGAGGGTCGTCCTGAGGGGCTTTTCGGCGTCTTGGGTGCCTCGGGGGGGCCTCTGTGGGCCGTTCGGGATCCTGTTTGGGGCCTCCTGGGGGCTTGGGGCCTCTTGGGGCCATCTTGGGGCCTTTGGGGGCCTCCTGGGCGCTTCGCGGGGCCATCTTTGCCCCCTCAGGAGGCCAAAACGGGGCCAAAATTTCAGTAAAATCAATGATTTTGGCTTCCTCGCCGAGGCCGTTTTGGACGCTCTGACCGCTCGCGGCCCCCCCTGTCCAGGTCCACGGGGAAGGGGTAGGGGGAGGGGTAAACCCCTCCCCGAAGGGAAAGAGGGAGGGGTGGAAAAGGAAACGCCTTAAACCACCGACGCCCAGAGGGCTGGTGGGATTGCCTCGATCAGGGAAGTGGACAGCACACAGAGGAAGCCAGTATGAGACATCTGGGGATTTCTTGAGCCATCTTGGAGGTCATTTTGGGCTCTCCGAGGCGCTCTTGGAGTCATCTTAATCAGTGCCCCCCCCCAAGAGGCCAACATGTGGCTAAAACCTTAGTGCAAACAATGGTTTGACATTATCGCCGAGGCCTCTGGGAGCACCTTGGGTGCCTCTGGGGGGTCTCTTGGGGCCTCTTGGGGGTCTCTTGGGGGCCTCCTGGGGGCCTCTTGGGGGGCCTCTTGGGGCCATCTTGGGGCCATCCTGCGGCCTCTTGGGGCATCCTGGGGGCCTCTTGCGGCCATCGTGGAGGAAATCGATCAAAGAAGAGGGGAGCTTTAATTAGCCCTGCCCCCTCAGAAGGCCAAAATGGGGCCAAAACCACAATAAAATCAATGATGTTGGCTTCCTCGCCGAGGCCGTTTTGGACGCTCTGACCGCTCCCCGCCCCTCCTGTCCAGGTCAGTGGGGAGGGGGTAGGGGGAGGGGTAAACCCCTCCCCGAAGGGGAAGAGGGAGGGGTGGAAGAGGAAACGCCCTAAACCACCGACGCCCAGAGGGCTGGTGGGATTATGATGAGAAGCACGTCACCATCCTGATTCAGCGTCTGACCGATGAAGCCACGAAACTACGGCCGGAGCACCAGCACCGCCAGCAAAAGTGGTCAAACTCGCAAGTATTCCGAAAAATCGGCCCGGCCACGAAAACACGTCGGCATCGTCATTCTTCTTCCCTCCTCCATGCTACCTCCTGCTTTCTGCGATTGGTAGTCCACGGTGATCGGCTATTGAGGTCGTTTTCGAGAACGAGGACCTTCGCTGGCTCCGTCACCGCGGGGAAAACATCTGAGATCGTTCAGTTTTATCACGACAGGGGGGAGGTATAGCACAAGCTTGGGATCCAGAACGCAAAGTGAGGGTTAAGGGCAGGAGCAGTAGCGCAGTCTGGCTGAGTAGAACCAATGTTGCGTCCCAGTGCATGTTAGCGCCAAGCAGTTGTGCACAGCGTGCAGTGGATGTTGCACCAAGACAAGATAAGATGTGCGTATCCACACCATGTGGCTTTCGGCCCAGCCCGCTACCGTGCCTGGGTTCGTGAGCCAGAGGTATCTTCGATGCATGTCTGGGTAGACTGGGATGCCTATGGGGCCTCTTGGAGACAGTTGAAAGCCTCTCGGGGGGGCCTCCTAGAGGTCTCTTGGGGCCTCTCGGGGGCCGCTCGGTGCCTCTTGGAAGCCTCCTGGAGGTCTCAGGGGTCATCTTGGCGTCGAGGGTTCGAAATGTCAGTTCGTGTTCCCCCTTCTGGGGCCTCTCTTAGGGCCATATTGGAGCCCACTTGGGCCGCTTTGGAAGGCTCTTGGGTCGTCTTGGGCTTTTCTTGGGAGCATCTTGAGCGGTCTTGGGAGCATCTTGGGTTGTCTTGGAGCGTCGGGAGGCCCAAAGGGCGAGAACGCTAGAATCCTTCAAAACCTTTTCACGAAAAAATCCATGATGTGTGCCCTTGGGGCGACCATTTGGGACCCTCTTGGGGCGTATTGCGGGCTCATTCGGCCGTCGTCGGTCCATCGTGTGCGTTTTGGAGCATTCTTGAGCCGTCGCGGGATTTTGTAGGACCGCCCCAGGGTCTTTTGAGGGCCTTGTTGGCCCGTCTTGGGGCCCCCTGGCCTCAGGAAAGCCAGGTGAGAAGCCCCAAGCGGTCTTCGGAAAATCCCAAGAGCGCCCAACAGCGCCCAGAAGTCGGACTTGGGGCCCCTGAACGAGCATGCACATTGCGTGCTCATTGCGCAGTTACAGTGCTCAATGCACAGAACTCTGAGGGACTTGACGACACTCCAATTCGTTTCTCGAGGCACGGTGGCGGATATTTTGCGCGGGATGTGGAGGGAGAGAAGACACTTAAAGATATGCGTTCAACATTGCGTGTTTACCATAGTTGTGCATGTCGTAGCTTCGTGCGTGCGATTATCCCGCAGTTTGCGATTCCTGTCCTCCTTGCCGAATTGTGGTTGCCCCATCCGTTGCAGCTGCTCCAACTGTCGCAATCATATGGATTAAAACTCGTTGTCGTTGGTTTCTGTGGTGGCTGCAGATGTTGATCAGAAACCGTTCCTGCAACAGAGGGATCGATCGCGGCGGCGACAATTGCGGCGGTGTCTGCGCCAACGATCGTGTTGATGTCGACGGTGAATACGTATCAGACCAACCACTATCAGCCATGCGAAGACCACAAAGTGGTTGGAGTATTATGCTTGCAGCGAGATCGATCCTCCGACGCCGCAGTAGATTATGTTGACCAGCCTCAGTCGATTCAAGCCACAGATGGGTTAGGAGCATGTCGGTTTAGATGTTCGGCGGGGTGACCGTCCACCAAAGCCCCAGAAGACCAGTGATTGCAGCAGGAGGCATTGGTCACCACAGGTACGCGATGCGTTCGCGTACGTGTGCAAGTTTGGTTTATACCACACCTTACCATGTTCCCAGCGGAATGTGATTTCAATACCAGTTGCCGCTGTACAAACCGAGGTGTGCGGCATCGGTCGAGTAACAGTTTTGAACAACTAAATGACACAACCCACCTTAATTGTGACACGTTGCAGCGACACTAGGAGAAATGGATGAAGGTAAGGAAGAGCGCGCGCAAGCAGGCTGAAAGATGATCTGCAGCAAGACAGTGATACAAACTGGCGCGGCCTCATGATAAAGTCGATGTTGCATTTGGGCATCACGATGTGTGGCCACTGTGGCCAATGTGTTGCAAACCTCGAAGAGCCTGCCTCACTGCTCAGACTCCTCCTCTAACAGCTCGCTGTGAACAGCTCCGACGAGGAGCATGTTTTCAAGTTCTGGCAATGAAACCCAGTCCATTTGCTGAACAGCATGGAACGCTACTCTCTGATAGCACTACAGATTCAGCCCTCGGAGGAGCGGAACGAGTGTGAAGTTTGCATACAAGTTTGGCGTCAAGACGGCGACGGTAATGGAGCACAAGAAGATGTGATTTCATTTGGATTACGATAGGGTTCTCCACATGGGTTCCATTCGTTAGCTCTTGGCCATTACGTGTGGCGCCGAGGCTACGTACTCGACGCAAGGCAAGGTCGAGCATCACTGCACGTATTTTCAAACCGGCGGGCAGCACGTCGCACGTGTTTCGTCGAGGATGCCACGGTCGTCGGTGGTGTAGCGAACATCTTCCGCGAGGGGATCTCTATCGTCGGGGTCTGGAAGATGGATCTTGAACAGTAAATGTGTCTCCTTCCCCGCCGCATTCTCTTCCCCTCCTCAACAATTACACAATATGAGTACTACTCTCCTCTCTCCCCTGATGACGTCCGGAAGTTGTTCGGGCCCCCTCGCACTGTTTTTAATAGGGTTCCAGGAAGTTGGGTTTTCGCTAGGGTTTTGTTCAACATGTTGTTCCCGCTGAAGCGCTGGCCTCATTCTCGAGCTTCCGCTCGTTCCGAATCGTGCTCCCGCTGCAGCGTTGGCCTCATTTCCACGCTTCCGCTCGTTCCGAATCGTGCTCCCGCTGCAGCGCTGGCGTCATTACTTCCAGTGCCATGCCACGGCATGCAATACAATGCTATGTGTTGTTCCGTTATGCAATGTCATGCCTTCAGCTGCAATGCTAGGATATGCAGTGCTTGACTACGCAGTGCCACGCCATGCTATGCCATACTACGCGTTGATCTTCAACGCCATGCTATGCCATGTTCTGTTCTGCGCCGCTGTGCTTTGCCATCATTTGTGTTGCAATGCTGTGTGATGCAATTCTTCACTACGCAACGCCACGCCATGCTATGACATACTACGCTCTGCCGTGCTCCTCGACGCCCTGCTATGCCATGCTCTACGATGCATCGCGCACCCTCGGGATCATTGCCCTGCTCGACTTTCGATTGTGCGAATAGAGAGGAGATCTGCGCCATGGTAAGTGATGGGAGGGAGGGGTAGGACGTCAGATATGACGCGAGCGCACCTAGCTTGTCTCCCTCCCCCTCCCCTCCCTTCTGCTGATCAGAGAACGCACGGTCACCTGTAACATGCGGCCCGCTGTGGCGGCCAAGATAGCCGCCCGAAAGCAGCAGCCCCCGTGGCGAGCCGCATGGGCAACCAGATGTTCTTCCGGTATTCCCCCTCAGATTATTATTTCTCTTCCCGTTTCGTTCTTCCCCTTGTATTATGTTCGCACGGTTCCCAAGTATCACGTTCTTCCCCCCATTGTCGTCCTCATGCTATTCGTTTTCTGTCTCTCTTATTTCTCCTCTTTCTGCTCTTCCTACCCCTCGTCTTTCTCCTCATCAACCTCCTCACCCACCATCTTGCGACATATCCACAGTGGTGGAGGGGGAGGGAACGCGTACGGGTGGCAAAAAATCGTGTGCCCAGTGGCTCAGGCTGCAAATTTGATTCCATTTCTGCAACACTGGCAGTGGAGCCCCGATGGGCCAGTCACGTGTAAGGGCGTTAATCAGCCGTGCTGCTCATTTCCATCCCGTTTGCTTTCCTGATCTAGCTCTGTGTATGCGACAGGTCAGTTTCGATGACCCCTGCTCGATCACCTTGAGGCTTGACGAGAACAAGTACTCAGGCAGTTTCTTAGATCACGCTGCCCAAGGAAAGGTGGGGCAAGGAGAAGGAAGTGGAGAAAAAGGAGGGGCACGGCGAGGAGATGGATGAGGAGGAGGAGGAGGAGGAGGAGGCGCAAGCAAATAAGTTGATGATGACGCTCGGTGTTGCAGCCCTTCTGCCAGATTCCTCGGGGAGGCCTGCGGTTCATGGACTCTGCATAGTTATCGTCCAAAGTGTGTTGCACTTGCTTACAGCGTTTTGCATCGCATTGCGCCGCTTTGCCCTCTTGGCATGGTGCTGATAACATGGAGCTGGTCAGCATGCCGTAGGGTTGTATTGCATCTGCTGTCCGACCCACTGGTTTGCAGTATGCTTTGTTGCATGCCATGGATTCGTATTGCATTGCGATGTGTTGCTATGCCGTTATGTGTATTGGTGCGCATTGCATCATGTTGCATGACCCTTGCATTGCATTATCGATGACGCATACGGTGAAGCACGGCCGCGCTTGTTTTTTCGAAACGCTTATGTGGCCCAGCGCTGGGCCAGCTTGAAGGCGTCTTAGGGACCGACTTAGAGACCATGTTTGGCCAGCCTGGCCATCCGGGAGCCACATTGGACGGGAAAGCCCACTGGATATGCAGTTGGCAGGTTGGGCCGAAGGCCGCTGGGAACCTATTTTTGCTGAAACGCGTCCTTGTTCAGGTTGCGGTAGCTCGCAGCCGTTCTACATCATGTTTCTCCTCTTGTTCCAGCCCGTCTGGACAAATTCTGCAATCAGCCCAACCGCCGTGTCCAGACCTAGAAGCTCCATCTGAAACGCGGAGATGGCGTCAGGCACGCAGGCATGTAGATAGCCAATCGTGTGCGTATCGTGAGCGGGGTGTGCGATCACCTGGACACCGTAAGCGCCGAAGGACGTTGGGAACCTTCTCGGAAGGGCCAGCGTGAAGCACAAACCTTGGCACGCGCAAACCCCTCCGGCAGGCTCAGGGGGCGGCGGCTCGAAGACGCCTGCGGCGCATCACCACCTCCGCCCTTGCCTTCTGGAAGCGCCCCTGTGGCCAAAGGTAGGGCCGACGTCGTGCCAAGCTACTGGGGATTGTGTTCCCCGAGCCGTTGCGGCAACCCTCTTGGGAACCTTCGGGGGAGGAAGGAGAGGGAGGAGGAGGAGGAGGAGGAAGAGGAAGAGGAGTCATCTTGAGGGCCTCCTGGGGACTTTCTGGAGGCATCTTGGAGGCCTCTGAGGAGCTCTTTGGGGCATCCTGAAGCACATTGGCGGCTTCTGGGGTGGGGGCCTCTGGGGGGCCGCTTAGTCTTCGGAGGCCGTCTTGGGAGCCACCGTGGGGCCGTCTCGAGGCGATTTCGGGCCGTCTTGGAGGTCTCTGGGGCCGTTGGGGGGACCTCTTGGGCCCGTCTTGGAGCCCTCTTCGCCCGTTTCGGGGTCCTCTTGGGGTTATCTGGAAGGCCCCTGGGGCCGCTTATCCGTCTTGAAAGGGCGAGAACTCGAACGTCTTTCAAAGACCACAGGAAAATCATTGACGTTTGGCCTACTGAGGGCATCCCCAAAGACCATCGGAAAATCATTGACGTTTGGCCTGCTGAGGGCATCCCCGAGGTTCTATTGGAGCAACTTGGAGCGTTCGAGGGGCATGTTGGGCTGCATTGTGGCCAAAGTGGGCCGTCTTGGGTCCGCTCTGGGCCGCCTTTGAGGCATTTCGAGGCCATCCTGGTTTTTCCTTGGGGCCATCATAGTGAACGTCTTGTAGGCCAACTTGGACCGTCTTGGAGGCCATCCTGGACCATCTTGACAATATTGGAGGCGATTTGCTTGATTCCCTGGCATTTCCAGTGGGCCCGCAGGTTTGTTACGGAAGCCATTGGGAACTTCTTGGAAGGGTTCGAACAGCTATCATCCTGCACGCCAACGGCCCGTCTTGCAAGCAACAGGGAGCGGCGGATCTGGTGGCTTTCGGCCTATCCCACTACCGTGCTTGGGCTGTGGACCAGAGGCATCTTGAAGTCCTCTCGGAGGCCTCTTGAAAGCGTCTTTGGGGCCTGGAGGCTGGTCCGAGGGTCGTCTGGGGATGCAGGGCTCCACATAGCATTTCGGGTTCCCCTCTTACGGGCCTCTTGGGGTTCCCCTCGGCCCCTATTCAGGGCTTCGGGAGCCCCTCTTGAGCGATAACTGGGGTCTCTTGGGCCGTCCTGGGCGCTTCGAGGAGCAGCCGAAAACCTCGGGTGTTTCAATGATCGTGTAGGCCAGCCCCGAGGGCCTAGCAGACGGCGCAAGAGACCCCCACGAGATGCCCAAGGCAGCCCCTATCTTGTGACACGTGGGAAGTGTGGACTCCCAACCAGGCTTCTCGGGCCCGTGAAAGCGCCCGACAACTCCAAAAATCTGGAACCTGGGGCTTTCTGAGAAAATTGTCCAGGTCTCCAGACTGATAGCTCGCAGGGATCTTGCGCTGCATTGTTTTGCAGATGAGTGCTTCGTACTGATGTACACTGCATTAAGTTGAACCGCCTCATACTGCACAAATGCTCGCCGCAATATATTAACTTGCGTTGCATAGCATTGACTTACAAAGTATTGTTTTTCACCTCATCGATCAGATTTGCAGCAAAGTGTACTGTTCGCATGTCTCTGCGACCCGTCGCCTTGCATGATATGTATAACATTGGCGTACATTGCATTGCATTGGTTTGAGTTAGTATTCTCTGCATCGCTTGGCACAACTGTGCATTGATGTGTAATTCGTTGCACTAGATTTCTATGGAACCACTTTGCGTGACGATGCAACTGTAACGCACTGCAACGCAACGCAAAGGAATACTGTAGTGACGCAGCGCACACTGCATCGCACTCCAACGCAAAGCAAAGCACGAGAAAGAGCGCTTCCTGCAGCTGCTGGTCATGAAGGGGCCCAACCCCCCAAGCAAAAAACCAGAGGGGGAGGGGGGGTTCGAATTATTCGGCCCCCCGGCGACGACGACGACGACGACGACGCCGCCGCCAGCAAACGACGACGACGACGACGACAGTGACGACGACGACGACGACGACGGCGACGACACGACGACAACCACGACGACGACGCCGACGACGCCGACGCTGACGCCGACGACAACGACAACGACAACGACGACATCGACGACGACAACGACGACAAGGACGACAACGACGACGACGACGACGAAGACAACGACGAAGACAACGACGACGACGACGACGACGACGACGACGACGACGACGACGACGACGACGACAACGACGACGACGACGACGACGACGACGACGACGACGGCGACGACGACGACGACAACGACGACGACGACAACGACGACGACACCGCTGGAAAACAACGACGACGAGCGAACCTCAGTGCAATGCGATTAAAGGGGCGAGCCCTAGTAGGATTTGATTAAAGTCGGATCCAGCCTAAGTAGGGTTTTTTTAAAAGCTAGATCGAACCCAAGTAGGATTCAAGTACAGCTGGATCCAATTTTCATGAGGATTTCGCATTACTGCTGTATCGAGCTATAGCAGGATTCCATCAGACGTCGGTCGGGTCCTGGCATGATCCTGCTCGTGCTGGACCTTGTCGTAGAAGGATTCTTCTAAAAATGGATCCGGCCCCAGTAGGATGCTGTTAGAGTTGGGTCGAACCCTAAAAGGATTGCATCAGAGCCAGGTCGAGCCCAAGTAGGCTTCCGCGGAAGCTGGATCGACCCTCAGAAGAAGGTTATTTCAGTTGGATGGAGCCCCAGCTTGATTCCGTCAGAGCTGGATGGAGCCCTTGTAGGATTGGATCAGAGCTGCATCCAGCCCATTGAAGAATTCTATTAGATCTGGACCTGGCCGTAATAGGATCAGATCAGAGATGGGCCGACCATTAGTGACATATGTCTAGAACTGGGCTCAAGCAAGAAAGGATTATATCGAATCTGGCCCGAGCCCTAGCAGGATTCTCTCCGAGCTGGATACAGCTTCAATAGGATCGCAGTAAAGCTGGAACAAGCCTGAGTAGGATTGCAGTAGAGCTGGATACAGCTTCGATAGGATTCTCGTAGAGCTGGATCCAGCCCTATTAGATTTCTGTTTGAGCCGGATAAAGTTCGTATGATATTCTATCAGAGCTGGACCTAATCCTGATAGGGCTGGATTTGAGTTGGATCGAACCCTTGGTAGAATGCCATTATAATTGGAACGAACGCTAGTAGGTTTCTGGCAGAGCTGGATCGAGCCGTTGCAGGATTCCCCTTGGGCCAGATGGAACCTAAATAAGATTGCTTTCGAGTTGGACCCAGCCGTCGTAGGAGGATTCTGTTACATAGAATTGGATCGAGCACGAGCACGTTGTTATCAGAGCGCGATCGGTGCGTCGCTGGTTTGATGTAGAGGTGGATCCCGCCCTATACGAGTTTTGTTAGAATTACATCCAGCAGCACTTGAATTCCATTAGAGGTGGAGCGAATCTTATAGCCTTCCATTAGAGCTAGACCGAAAACCTATAGGGTTTCATCAAAGCTGGATTGAGCCCGAGTAGGATTATATCACAGTCTGCGACGGGCCCAAGCGACGGCGCCAGGTGCGCCGCCGCCGCCGCTGACGTTATCGTCGTCGCCGTCGTCGTCGTCGCCGTCGTCGTCGTCGCCGTCGTTGCCCAGGGGGGGGGTCCTGGATTCCTCGAAAAATTGTCTGGGAGGGGAGGGGGGGGGAGGGGGGGTCTAAACCCCTCCGATTGATTTTCCCGTGGAGGGGGGGGGGTGAACGGGGGAGGTCCCCTGGTTTCTGATCCCACCTTAATGTAATTGTCCAGACCAGCGACGGTGGACCGCGCTCCCCCAAACACGACAATCGAAATTCAACACCAGCGCGAAGCAAAACAAGGCAGCATGAAGCAGAGCAGTTCACAGCAACTCAAAACCATGCTGGGCTGTGCAACGTAAGGAATCGACAAAGTTTTACATTGCTCGGCAGGTCGTCGAGGCAAAACACTACCCAGAGACGTACCCAACTCTTTGCACACATGAGGTGGCTACACATGGGACCGCTCGATACAAAAGTAAACATTGAATGATCCACCGCACCCTTGAACGCTTCGCCTAAGAACGTCGGGCCACCATCGATTTATTCTCAATCGTGACATCAGTCTTGCGGCGTAAACGATTGCCAAAAAGGCGACCACGAGCTGAAGAAAGAAACAGAATGGCGCGTGTAGAAACGTTCGGAGGAGGGAAAACGGGAGAAATGATTGTCGAGAGTGGCAGCGTCGCGCGATACATCGCAGTATTGAACAATGCCATGCGCGCTATAACAGAACAGCGCCCTGCGTTGAACGCTGCACGTGTATCAGCGCAATACGGTCAAGAGGCAGCGGAAGAGGAGATGCAGCACAGGCATAGGAAAGTGCCATGCGTTGCGCGGCGCTCCACTCCGCCGGACCTCCTATGAGCCCACGAAAGTGGCGACATTTGCACAATTAACCACGGAGGGAGCCGCGAGATCTTGGCTGGACCAGCGTACAACTCCTCTCCACTGGACCTCCCAGGAGCCCAGGAAAGCGGCGACAGCTGCGAAGTTCGCAGCCACCCAGGGAGCCGCGAGGTCTCGGCTAGATTCGCGTGTACCACGATTCCGCGGGCCCTCCCAGAAGCTCACAAAAGTAGCACTTCGGCGCCACCCAGGGAGCCGCGAGTTCTCGGCCGGGTGCGCGTACAACTCCACCCCGCTGAACATCCCAGGAGCCCACGAAAGTGGTGACCTTTGCGCAGTACGTATACCCCGAGGCAGCCGCGAGGTCTCGGATGGATCCGCATGCAACTCCGCTCCGCTGGACCTCGCAGGAGCCCACGAAAGTGGCGACGGTTGCGCAGTTTGCAGCCACCCAGGGAGCCGCAAGATCTCGGCTGTATCCGCGTACAAATCCACCCCGCCTGACCCCCCAGAAGCACACGAAAGTGGCGACAGATGCACCGTTCGCAACCACCCAGGGAGCCGCGAGTTCTCGGCCGGGTGCGCGTACAACTCCACCCCGCTGAACATCCCAGGAGCCCACGAAAGTGGCGACAGTTGCGTAGTACGCAGACCCCGAGGCAGCCGCGAGGTCTCGGATGGATCCGCGTGCAAGTCCACTCCGCTGGACCCCGCAGGAGCCCACGAAAGTGGCGACGGTTGCGCACCTCACAGCCACCCAGGGAACCGCGAGGTCTCGGTAACACTTCGCAGCCACCCAGGGAGCGGCGAGGTCTCGACCGGGTGCGCGTACAATTCCACCACGCTGGACATCCCAGGAGCCCACGAAAGTGGCGACCGGTGCGCCCCTCGCAGGCACCCAGAGAGCCGCGAGGTTTGGGCTGGATCCGCGTGTACCTCAATGCCGCGGGACCCACCAGAAGCTCACAAAAAAGGTAGCAGTTCGCAGCCACCCAGGGAGCCGCGAGGTCTCGGCCCAGTGCGCGTACAGCTCCACTCCGCTGGCCCTCCCAGGTGCCCACGAAATTGACGACTGCGAAGCTCGCAGCCACCCAGGGAGCCGCAAGATCTCGGACGGATCAGCGTGTACCTCAATTCCGCGAGCCCTACCAGAAGCTCACAAAAGTAGCAGTTCGCAGCCACCCAGGGAGCCGCAGGGTTTCGGCCGGGTGCGCGTACAGCTCCACCCCGCTGGACAGCTGCGCAGTTCGCAGCCACCCGGGGAGCAGCGAGGTCTCGCCTGGACCCGCGTGTAAGTCGACTCCGCTGGACATCACAGGAGCCCACAAAAATGGCGACAGTTGCACAGTTCAGGGAAGGCTGGATCCGCATCCAACTCCACTCTGCCGGTGAACCTCCCAGGAGCCCACAAAAGTAGCAGTTCGCAGCCACCCAGGGAGCCGCGAGGTCTTGGCCAGGTGCGCGTACAATTCCAACCCGCTGGACACCCCAGGAGCCCACGAAAGTGGCGAGCGTTGCGAACCTCACAGCCAACAAAAGAGCCGCGAGGTCTCGGATGGATCCGCGTGCACTTCCACCCCCATGGACCTGCCAGTTGCCCACGAAAGTGGCGACAGATGCATAGTTCGCAACCACCCAGGGAGCCGCGAGGTCTCGGCCGGGTGCGCGTACAACTCCATTCCGCTGGACCTCCCAGGGGCCCACGAAAGTGGTGACAGTTGCGCAGTTCGCAGCCACCCAGGGAGCCGCGAGGTCTCGGCCAGGTGCGCGTACAATTCCACCCTGCTGGACCTCCCGTGAGCCCACGAAAGTGGCAACAGTTGAGCACCTCGCATCCACCAAAGGAGCCCCGAGGTCTCGGCTGGATCCACGTACGACTCCACCCCGATGGACCTCCCAGTGGCCCACGAAAGTGGCGACGGTTGCGCAGTTTCCAGCCACCCAGAGAGCCGCAAGATCTCGGCTGCATCCGCGTACAAATCAACTCCGCTGGACCCCCCAGAAGCACACGAAAGTGGCGACAGATGCACAGTTCGCAACCACCCAGGGAGCCGCGAGGTCTCGGACAGGTGCGCGTACAAATCCATTCCATCGGACCTCCCAGGAGCCCACGAAAGTGGCGACAGTTGCGCAGTACGCAGACCCCGAGGCAGCCGCGAGGTCTCGGCCGGGTGCGCGTACAAATCCACTTTGCTGGACCTCCCAGTAGCCCACGAAAGTGGCGACGGTTGCGCAGTTCGCAGCCCCTCAGGCAGAAAGGTGCGAGCAAGGGAGGCGAGGAGGCAGGAGGAGGAGGAGGAGGAGGAGGAGGAGGAGAAGAAGGAGGCCGAGGAGGAGGAGTTGGCAGGAGGAGCGGGTGGACGCGGAAAGGAAGGAAGGGGGGAAGGAAGGAGTGAAGACTACAGTGCCCTAGTCACAGCGAGAACCCAACGCTTTTCCCGTTGTGGCGCGGCAGAGGCAGCCCTCACGTGCGCTCAGCAAGCTGGAAGACGGCATTGCAAACTGCCCAGATGCAAGAGGAAAAGGAGGCAGAAGAGGAGCGGCCGCGGCAGGAAGGAAGAGAGGAGGGCTTCGCGCACACGCAGCGGGGATCGCAGCGGGGCGCCCGGGGGCGGCCAAGCCGGCGCTGCACCCCTGGCAGCAGGCACAGGGCGACGTCGCGATTTCACGAGAATCCAGTACAGGAGCATTGGGACAAGCAATGACACGTTAAACACCGCAAGACTATGACCATCGATTACATGCTTAGTTCAGTTTGCTCAAACACGTCATGAGATTCAGCTTGTCGTTAGTCTTACATCTGGCGTACTCTCAGCTTGCCTTGAGCTTGAGTTGCTTCTAGCAGACAAGGCAACCCTAAACGGGGTCGCACACAGTTTTACTATGTCCCCCCCCCTCCCTACCGACACCCGTCCACAAAATTGGGCGACTTCGTTTCCCGTTGGAGACATGAAACAAGGGGGCCATCGTCTTTCACGCTTAGTGAGACCCCGACGGCCCCGGCCGATTCCGCCACTCGGGAAAGCACACTATCACTGTTTGCACAAATGGCTCGCATAACAGCTTGCTTTCTAAGGGCCCGCCTACTACGTCCTGCGACTGATGTATGAGCTGGGGCAGGCAGCCCGTGGGGGGATGCTCGCACAGTCGTTGCAGCGGTTAGGATCCTTCATGACGAAGTTGGAAAGGATTGCGTGCATGCTTAAGGGTTCTGTGCTGTGCGCCCGCAAACGAATACAATCGGTTCAGGGTGTTGTTCTTCCTGCTTTGACTCGCACCAGCCGGCCGTTACCAAAATGTTCGCTGTGCGGCTGGCCATAGATTTTCCGTTCGCGACAGAGCACGTTTGTTCGACTTTGACGTTTCGAACGGGTATGTATTCAACGCTCACGCTCTGGCTAAACAAGCGCTGGCAATATGAAATGTGTCACGTGTTCGCTGGCGCGTTGCAATCTGGCTGTTGCGTGGTAGCCCAGTGTCAATGAAAGCTCGTGTCGACGAGAGTATCAGACGTCAGCCCTTCCGGAGAATCCCGTCGCCCTCCAGCGCGATACATCGAGGGAGCGCCAAGAAACGCTGCTTAACCTGGAGGACGCGGGAAGACGCCGTCAGGGTTCTTTGCTTCGGAACTGTATTCGTACATGATTAGCGCGTGCATTCTACCGCATATCAGCGTTTTCTGTGCACCACCATTGCACTGTTCGTGAGCCTCTTGTTTCCCATTGTCACGTTGGTGTGTTTGTAGCTGTGTGCTGTTCAACTCGAAAAATTATTCCGGCAACAGCGCCTGACAAGGATTGTTTGTGAGACCGCTGCAGTACCGAAACTTCGTGACTCCAGAACTGCGTTTGCCGACTTGTTCCACTCGAAATGGAAAGGTGGAATGTACGAATAACGATATGTATCGCCAGCCACGCGCGTGCTTGATTACATTGGACAGACGTGGTTTAGGAAAGCGGGTGAAGCAGACGTTGGAATTGATAACACGGCAATTATAACATTCGTTTCCGAAGTGGAGAGGAGATGTGGTGACACGTTTTGATCGCCATGCACGATCAGCCATGTTGTCAATGCATATATGTATTTGCGCGTGTCACGAATGCACGTGCACCCGTACGAAAAGTGCAACAACAAACAAAACAGGAATGTAAATCGAGTGTGCATGCCAAGCTGATCAAATTCTTCCACAGACCCCTTTGGAGCCATCTTGGAGATCGCGAAGGGCCCTTTTGGGAGCAGTTGGGGATCTCTAGGGGCCATCTTGATTGCCATCGAGAAAGAAAGCGTGGTGTGAATTAGCACCATCCCTTTGGAGCCCGAGAAATGTCTCCTTGGAGCCCTCTTGGGTCGTTCTTGGGGCCGTTGTGGGCTTATCCTGGGCCCCTCTGAGGGATCCATTGGGCGATCTAGCAGCCAGATTGGTGCCTCAGAGGCTTGTTGCAAGCGAAAAGGCGAGAAGGTAAAGATCACTAGAAATGCGTTGGTTGATCAATGAGTTTAGCCTGTCGGGGCTCTCCTTCGAAATCTACATGACACCGTGGAGCCGTCTTAGGGTGGTCTTGCGGTTTCTCGAGGGTGCGTTGGAAATCACATGGGGCCATCTTCGCTGAGAGTAAGCCATCTTGGAGGCCGTCTTGGCCTACCTGGGGCCATATTGAAGTCGTCTTGGACGCTTTGACCGGTCACGGGGTCCCCCGTCCAGACCTACGGGGGGGCCCAACAGTTAGCAGTGCCATGTAACGTTGGCGATGATTCATTGTATGCATGATCCGTGGGGGGGATATGCCGAAATCGGCGGAGGAGACGTTTGCAAATTGTTGACGCTTCGCATATCCCCGCCAACCCAGCCAGAAACGATGCCCAGGGGAGTTGAGGTGACCAGGGAAGCTGGGAAGCGTGCAGAAGAACAAAGGGTGGGGGAAGCCCACCCATACCCCAAGAGGGGGAGGATGGTGGAGGAGAAGGAGGCGGAGAAGGAGGAGGAGGAGGAGGACAAAGAGGAGAAAAGAGAAAGAGAGAGTGGTCAAGGAGGAGGAGGAGGAGGAGAAGGAGAAGAAGGGGCACCTTGGCGAGCCCAGAGCCGTATTTGAGCGTCTTGAGTGCCTCGGGCATCCTCTTGGGAGCTTATTGGAGGCTTCTTGGACACCTCTTGGGGCCGTCTGGGCACCTCGTGGGGCCAACTTGGGGCGGTCTTGGGAGCTTTGTGAGCGCTCGTAAGTCATTTTGGAGGAGATCGATCAAAAAAAGAGGGGTTCCCAAATTCCCCCCCCCCCCCCGCTCCCCTTCTGGAACCAAAAGTCGAACTTGGGGCGCTCTTGGAGCGCTCTTGGGGCCGTCTTGGGGCTCTCTTGGGTCTCTCCTCGGGCCCTCTTGGACAATCTTGGAGCCACTTCAAAAACATGAATGTTCCTCTGGTGTTTGAAAGAGTTTGACTTCTTGGGGGCCTCCTTGGAGGTTTCGGATGCCTCTTGGAGCAGTTTTTGAACGTCATTGGGGCCTCTTGGAACATTCTGGGAGCCATATTGCGGCATCGGGCGTTATCTTGAGCCATCCTGGGGCTCGTCTTGGACGCGCAGGGGCCCTCTTGGAGCCGTCTTGGGCCATCTTGGACGCTCCACCGTCTCGCCGCCCCCCCCGTCTAGGTCCAGGGGAGGGGGGCGGGGGGAGGGGTAAACCCCTCCCAGAAGAGGAAGAAGGGGATTGGAAGAGGAGCCTCCCTAGACCACCTGCACCCAGAGGGCTGGTGGGATTGCCCCACTTAGGCCGTGGGCGGAGCTCCTTTCGAGACGCGCAACATGTGATGGTGCGCCGAAATGTGCGAATGAAAGCTGTTGGTGAAATTCGTTACGAGAGCGCCATCTTCGTGAGAGGCGTGCCGACATGCGACTGTCATAGCACAACAAAACGGGGTCGATCGGCAAAGGCAGCGATGCATCAGATACGAGTTTCGTCGGGTCGGAGCTGCAGGCTTGCCGTTTGCTGCACAGCCCTCGCCAACATTGTGAGGAGCGCCAACTGCTAGTGGCAGGCACATTGAAAGACACGAATTAGCCATCAAGCGGTCGTGGCAAAGTTACGAACAGCCTGGGAAGGTCGAGATCTCGGGGACAAGATCGACCAGTTCGACAAAGGTTCCGAGGCCGATCTTCCACATTGGAAGAAGAAGAAGAAGAAGAAGATCTAGAGCCATGTTAATTGGCATTCCGAGGCGAAGATGAGAAATGGCACGTGGATTAGCAGTGCGACGGCCAAGGAACATGGTGGTGTTCCTTCAAGCCGATACACCAGGCAGACGAAGACAACTGGTAGTATCCGTATGAGGACCCCCGACGTACCAGGACGACCACCAGCGGGAGTCCAAGGAGGACGACCCAGAGCGGTCCAATCAGGTCGCGGAGGTTGAAGCCTTGGTGATGGAGTATCGGCGCGCACTGGCAGACGCCCGCAACTCAGCGTCCGAAGCCTTCAAGATCCGAGGATTCCATGGAGGCCAGTCGGACACCGGCAAGCGGCGACGGCAAAGGAAAGCAAGCGATGGTTGCTCGCGGGCGACCTGACCTCTTCTGGCGTGACTGCCCCGATCGCTACGCCACGGGCAGCTCGAAGGGTAGCGGCAAAGGCGGCCATTCCAAAGGCGGCGGCAAGAACGACAGCATCCGGGGGGTGCTGGCAAGGACAAGTCCAAGGGCTACCACGTGAGTTGGGAGTTATGCAATCCAGGCCCCATCCTAGCCATGTCACACCTCGCTCAACCCGAAGTGGTTCTGGACTGCCAAGCTACGACGACAGCTGGAGGTGGAGATGCCGCGGCCGACCCAGTCGAAAAGGTAGGACTGCAAGTCGAGGAGTTCTCGTACACCGTCGACAGCAAAGACCGGCCGTGGTTCACGTTCGCCAAAGGCGAGTGGGGACAAGTTCTCCCCAATGCGTGGATGCTTGCACCGGTGGGATGGACGAGTACCCACCTACTCAACGCAGAGGACGCCCCCGTGCTCACGGGCATGGACTGGCCCGATGCCCACGACTTGTCCTTCTGCAAAAACGAGACAACGCTGTACCATTCGGATGGCCCGACCGACGGGGAGGTGCCTCCTCCAGAGAGGTCCCTTACGACATCGCATGTTGGACCTCCTGATCACCGTGTCCCCGGCAACAATAATTTATGGACGCGGGCCGACAGGTGTCCAAGAAAACAGTGAGACGTCTTTCTTACAAATCACATTGAGCAGAAGCCCGCGCCAGAAATCAGGATCGCATGTCTTCAGCGACCGAGCAAGCAAGCTCACGAGATGCAACTAAAGTCGATGGTGGGCCTAGACGGAGTGCGAAACGCCAAGCGTTCGGATTTCGATTGTATTTTGACACACACCGAAGGATTCGAAAGCTACGTCATCTTCTATGACAGCAGAAATCCATTTGATTGGGTTTGGAATTTCCTAACGTCCACGTCATATTCTGGGAATGGCGTCGCAGCAAACTACGGGCCCATCAGCAGCACAAACAACATGTCCTATGTCGTTGCGGTTCGAAGTCCTACGCGAAAGGACCCAATCATTTAGCAACGTCCATATTGTATCCTGGGGTTCCATGCGAGGATGGACCAGAAGCTCGATGGGCCAAGCGGTTCGGGACGGATTTTCGGAACCCACGAGCACGGCGCTTTCCGTGCCAGCGGGGCCACGAAGGAGCCGCTACCAGGGGATTGGATACGCTCGACGGCTGGAGTGCGACAGGCGCGCCTCTCGGTTGGAGCGCGTGCCGACGGATCATTTTTCGGGGACCTATAGGGAGCAGCTTCCACCAAACATCGTAGAGATCGCGCAGGATGACATGCGATTGGGTGGCAAGGAGCCGACAGCATTGACCAAACAAGAGTACTTGAAACGACCGTCGGGACCACGATGCGGAGTCAAGGCCGAGAGGATCAAGCAGGCGCGGGAGAATTGTCCCCACATCTCGCGGTGGCCGAGAATTTTCCGCCCACAAAGGTGGAGGCGATCAATATCAGGACCAAATTGTGGGACCAGCGGCAGGCGAGACCAAAATCAGAATTCTATGCGAACGCAGTCGGGAAGGTCCCGACTAGAACGACGACGGCAAGGAATTCACCCCCAGCGGGG